AGGTTTCCTAATTTGAAGCCAAGGTCTCCACTTTGATTTCTACTAGTTCCTTCTTAAGATTTGCATGTTAATGAGCTCATCTGCATCACAGTTGGAAACTATTCCTCCATTTCAGGAGAGGCCACGCCCAAACCCATGTCCTTAAGACAAATGAGTGAATTCTGGTCTATCAAGCCTGAAACAGCAAGGTAATGTTGCCTTTTTTTCTCAATGTTGCATCCCAAAACCAAAGCACCAAAAACACAGGTTAAGAACATCTCTTTTCTGTAACAATTTCAGTTTCCTTTTTTTCCCTCCTCCTAACTACGATTCCCTAAAAGAACTCTGACTCTCACTAGGTCCATTAACTCACAAAGCAAATGCAGAGGATAAGGGCAAGTAGCACAGTTGTCCCAAGTATTCATTATTTGCAAGCCGCTGCTCAGAAAGTTTAGACTTCAGACTCTTCACAGGAGGTACCTGACTCCTTGGCCCTAACCCAGGCCCACAGCAAAGGCTACAAACACCAGTGCAGACAGAATCCCAAGCTAAGTCACACTGGCACAAAAAAAATGGTCTTTACAGCATGTTCAGAAGTTGATCCTTCCAGAAGGCCCAACATTAGTGTCCCTCCCCCTGACCTCTGGCCACCTGTCTTTCACAATAAAACATACATGACATGATCATGTGGTGTTTGCACTATGTCCTTGGAGAAATGGAGAATGGAACAGTGGCAGAGAAGAACTGCGAAACAGGAGAAGGAAAAAAAAAAAGATCAGGGATGTGATTCAAATGGTAGTGCATGTGCCTTGCATGTGTCAGGAAGTTCAATTCTTATCCACACCCATCCTCAGTACGACTGGGTGTGGCTCCAACAACAACAGAAAACAAAAAGAATTTATCTCCTTGGCTTTGCGCTCAGTACCTTGCCTTGGCCTAGGACATTAACATTTATAGATCACCTGGTAATAAGTACCAGGCATTCCAGAAGTTACAGGTATCAATACTCCTATTAATGGTTTGTCAAGGTGCACTAAAAAGGGGAAGACAGGGGTTTACACTTAAAGAAACCAATTCGGCTTTGGGGAAAGAGTCTCTGAAATAACCACCAATACCATAACCTCTGTCCCAGAACTGCCCAAGACAGAAATAAAACACAAATCCCCAAAAAACACAAAAGCTAGCAGAAAGTTACGAAGAGAAAAGGGATGTCTACCTGTATATAAAGTAAAGTAAAGTATATATTTATATACTATCTTTCCCATAGTACTCAGGAGCACCCATTCACCTTGACTGTATATTTGCCATTTTAACAAAATCTTAAGGATTCTGGAAATGTCCAGAGAGGTTGAAATGGGACTTATCTATCCCTCAGTTTCAAGATCCACACAGCTGAGAAAGGTGGTGACAGGAAACTTTCATCTTTAGAGGTTACCACTGCCATCTTTGGAGGGATTTTAAAGACAACTCCTAAATCCCGCTCAAGTGAAAGCTCACTCTACTAGCAAAAGCAAAGGCAGAAATGCAAGTACCCAGCCCCAGGATGTCAGCATTTACGAAGTTTGCTGCTGGGTTAGCACTCCCTTGGGATTCTTTGACAGCAGAAACACTGAAAGTCACCCCACAGGTCACCTCCCTGCTGCAAAATTGGAGGGTGGGGGAAACTCTGGAGAACAGAAGCAAGTTCTCAGCAGACAAAAAGAGGCCAAGGCTAAGATTGGGCAAGAGGCGAGGAACCAGTGGGGCCGGAGGAGCCAGCAATAAACATATACCCTGGATACAGAGACTACTGAGGTCAAAAGTGCCAGCAAGTCACACTTTTCAAGCTAAGCCCCAGTTACAACTACAATGACAGGTGCTTTCATTCTTTCAATAAGGATTAGACAGAAATTCTCCCCCATGGGAAGAAAGCAAAAGCCAGGGGAGGTTGCCACAACCCAAATACTTAGAGATGACCAGCTAATACTTAGGTGAACAGAACTAGCTCCTGATGTGAGAAGACAGGTCTCCTTGTCCTCCTAAGGGCCTCAGGAGTCAGGGAAAGCAAAAATGCCTCCACTCCCGATGACCTGGGATCACTTTGAGTTCTGAAAGCAGCTTAACCCTCTCGTTCAAAATGGTGAGGTTACTAGGCGAGTGGTTTTCATCCTTTCCCCATCAGACTCCAATGGGAGCACAACCTCCCAACAGTGAGAAACCTACACACGTAACTGCGAAAAATGACCATTCTCTGACCAAACTGGTATTCACTTTTCTTTTGATATTATATAATCCTGTCTTTGTGGTATAAGGAAGCCACTGCACTGTCTGGAAAGATGATCCAATTTTGGTCCTTTTATCACCAATGCTTTCAGCAATTTGTTCTACTTACCCTACTGTAATTACTTTTAAGTCATCAACCACGTAGGCAGCCTTTAAGCTTTGAGAAGAGAATGCTGGGGGGGGGGGGGGGGGGGGGGTTGGGAGGGAGGAAAAAATGAAAAAACAACAACAAAAAAGAAGCACTGCAAGGGCTATCAACTGCACTTTAGAACCACCCAAGCTAGGAGCAAGTTTTTCTTCTAGAAACCTGCTCATGGATAAACTGCCTCACTGGGCTTTGCCTATTTTCAAAGGAAGGTAGGGCAAAGATGGGACCCTGCGGGGGAGTGGGGGATGGGAAGGGGGAGGGAAGGGGCAAGGAACTAAATAAAACATCTGGTCCTTATCCTGTTTTTTTGGGTTGTTTGGTGTTTTTTTTTTTGCTTTTTTTTAAGTACAAAATTTGTTTGTGAATGATAAATAACTCAGAAAACTTGGCTTGGTGGGCTTGGTGCCTAAGCAACCCCAGAAGAAAGCATGCCTTCTCTGGAATGCAGTCAAGTTACAGGGGGAGGGAGAAACCCTGGCTGCTGGCTTGAGACTTCAGATTCCAACAAGGATAAGACTGAAGGGCAAATCATAGAAGAGAGAGAGAGAGAGAGAGAGAGAGAGAGAGAGAGAGAGAGAGAGAGAGAGAAATCAAAGCTCTAATTCCATGAAAATCCAAGTGAGGTCTGTGAGTGAACGCTGCCAAGAAGCCAGTTGCTTTGCTTCCCCGGCTCCCACGACTTCAAACTTCCAGCTCTGATTTGTAAGAGGCCCCCTTTAGCAGTCCACCCAATGTCCACGCTCTGTGGGGTGGGGACCCTTTCCTCAGCAGGAAAGAACCCCTGGGGGACACACTGGCTGTTCTTGGACACTGACCCTCTGCAACTCTTCCAACACCCACATTTCTTCTGGGACTAGGTTATGAGAGACTTTTCCCCAGGATGAGGCTGGGAACCAAGTGACCAAAACAGGCGCCCCCCTCCCCAGGTGTCAAACTGCCACCTGGGGAGCAGTGGGGAGGGGATTTTAGGAACTGCACACTGGGCTTGAAGTAGGCAAGGCCTTGCCTATTTTCAGGAGACAGAGTTGCAAGGTTGGAGAGTCAGGAGGCATTCTCTGCTGCACCCTGGTGCCCCCTGCCATCCCCCCACCCCCACCCCCACCTTCCACTACTCCAGAAATTAGGTAAAGGTTTACAACAACCCAGTTTCTAAGCCACTAGGCAAGTCACAGGAGTCCTGGGGACCCTGAATCCCTGGCATATCGATCCGCTGAGCACTGCCGCCAAAGAGGGGGATGTGGAGTGACACCAGAGCCCCACAGCTGGCCTCCTACCCGGCTGTAGGCCTCAGCAGTGCTCAGCTGCAGCGCTGGCCCCTTCATGGGGGGAAGGGGGCACGGCGTGGGGGTGGGGGGTAGCGTCTTCCTGGGAAGCGTAGGCCCGCTCAGCTCAGGATTCCGTCCCCCACATGATGCTCTCTCCTGCTTCAGGCCAGGCAACCCCAGTTTGGGACGTTCTCCAGGAAAATCCGACGCTGGTCTTGCTGGACTCCCCGCGGAAATTCTGTCCGCAGTTGGAGAAGCATACATGGCCCGAAGAAAGGGGAGGGGGGGTAAAGGCAAAGAGTTTTGGGCCTCCGTGACCGAGCTAAGAGCGTTCCCACCTTCGGGGGTCGTGGGGTCCTGTCCTCAGGCGCCGTAGAGGCCCGGGCCACGCAGCACCAAGTGTACCCGAGCCCCCAGGAGGGCGGGCCCGCGGACCCCCCTTGGCATCTACAGCCGAAACCCCGGGGAAGCGGGGGCGCGAGCAGCTGCCCACGGAGCAATCGCACTTTTCTGTGCGCGATTCAGAAACACGGCGGGTCTGATGCCATCCGGCGAATTATGTAACCAGGGACACGGCGCTCGGGCTAAACAAACGCGACTGTGTGCGCCGCGGCGGCCCCCGGGAAACGCGCGGGGGGCCCGGGAGGGGCTCGGCGGGGCCTCGGGGTCCGGCTGGCTCGTTCGGGGAAGGCGGCGGGCCGCAGCCCGGGCGAGGACCCCCGCGCACACCCCGCAGGTCGCGTCCCGCACGGCTCGGCCCCTCCCCCACCGCGGCCGCCCCCGCCGCCAGCGGTGAACTTGGTCCCAAGTCCCGCCCGACGCGGTCCCCTCCGGCTGCCCGTGCGCCCTCGGGCTCTCGGGTGGAGGGGCTTCAAAGAGGGGGCCGCTCAAGTGCGGGGGCTCGGGTCCCGGTTGCATTCCAGCTCGGGACCCCCCGTCCCGCACCTCACCTCTCCAGGCGGCGCAGGGCCAGCCGCGCGCTCTAGTGCGGGAAAGTGGCGACCCCACCCCCAACTCCGAGAAGACCGACGCGGGGGGGACTCGCGCGGGGAGCGCTGCCCCTCGGCGTCGCTGCCCCGGAGCGGGGGAGGGGTGCAGGACGGGTGACAGCTGCACGGAGGGCGCCCCTCCCGCTCGGGCGCCGGGAGCCCGGGGCCCGCGCGAGGCCCCCGCCGGGGACCCCGAGTGCAGCCCCCGACCCGAGGGCGGAGAGACCCCCAAGGTCCCGGCGGAATCTCCCGCTCCGAGCCCCGGCAAGGCAGAGGCTGGGCCTCGGGGTTCGGGGCGACGCCAGCCCCCTCTTCGCCCGGGGGCGACGCAAAGTTTTGGGAAGTTGCTGCCCCTACCTTGCTTGGTGAGCACCAGGGCGTCTTCCCTCCGCGCCTGGGTGATGATGGAGCCGTGTTCCATCTAACAAACCCGCGGGCCCGGGCTGCCTGGGCGGGAGGACGGGCGGACGCGCAGGCTGGGCTGGGCTGGGCTGGGGGGCCTAGGCGGGGGCCCGCTCGGGCTGGGGCTCCGAGCACTCTGACTCCTATGGCTGTTCACATCCCTGCTCGCGTTCCCTCCCGGAGCCGGGAAGGGAGGCTGCCTTTAGGAGAGCGGGCGGCCCGGGCAGCGGCTCCCCCGGGTGCCCCCGGCCCCGATCCCCCGGCGGCAGCTCCGGGCTCCTCAGTTTGGGTCCAACATGGAGAATCCGGAGCGAAAACAAGAGGAGGAAATGGGACACGGGGCGGTTTCCAGGCTCCCCTCTCCCCTCCGTACTCCAGATAAACAACCCGCGGCTGCAGCGCCCACCCCCGCGCGCCTCCAGGCTCTGGACTTGGCCTCCCCGCCGCACAGCGGCTCCTTCCGCCTCGGAGCACCGTCCTAGGCCCGGGGCCCTTCACCTGCCAGCTGCCGGAGTCGCGGATCTTCCAGAGCGCGGCTATTTTGTTACGGAAAAAGCGAATCCCCGAGGGGGGTGGGGTGGCGGGCGGGCGGGCTGGCGGGGGAGACTTGAAACTGCTCCGGCACTCCGATTGGCTCGCTCGGAGAAAGGGGGCGTGGTCGCTTCTTACTATGCAGTGCAAGGGCCCAACAACATTCCAGTCGCGGTGGCCACGCCCCCGGGCCACTCCCCCCCCCTCGCAGCGCAGAGGCCTCCCAGCCTCTTCGGCCACACCCCCTTCCCAACTACTTAAAAGGACACTCCAAAGCTCACGTTTCTCTTCTGGGTGCTGGGGTGTTTTCCCACTGCCCTTCTTCAGCTCCTGCGAGCCAAAAAACTCAGGTGGGACCAGAATTAGGAGGGTTCGGGCAGTTTTCTTTCTGTTTGGCCCGGGAATGGTAAGATCCATTATTTCACATAAATGAGTACATCTGTTGAATTCCCATAGGCATGTGTGTGTCTGGGGGCGGGGTGGGGAGGGGGGACTCAGAACTTCAGAATATCTGAGCCAAACCTAAGCTCCGGATGGTCCGACCACACTCTCCCCCTACCCTGCCCCCTCACCACCTTCCAGTGAACCCTGAGCGGCAAGTGAAGGGTTTTCCTTAGCCACTCACTTATTTCCACTCAGGACTCTCCTCCTTCCCTCTGACCCACCTCCAACCCTGAAGTCCCAGTCTCAGGTAGGATGGGCAGAAGTTTTGAAGAGAAAAGGCTCAGCTGTGTGTACTCTTGGTCTTCAGGCCCAGGCAGACACCTGCTGGCTTTGGTTAACAACTGAGACGCTGAGAAGCCTCAGGTGCAAGGTGAAGTAGTTAGACATTTGTTCCCAAGAAGTGGTAGGTCCAGAGAGTCAAGCTCAATATTAAATCATTTCCAGGGAGTTACAACTATCCATAGATGACAGGGACTGACATGGGAAGGGAATTGGTCAAAGACAAGGCTAGCAAGAGAAACTGTGAGATTCCACTGGGTGACTTCTGAGCTGCTTCCAATCCTAATGATCAATGATTTACCGCAAATCACCTTACCAAGGAAGAGATTTCCAGGCAGCTCGGGACATCTTTGCTCCCTGAGGGGTGGGGGCAGCCCCATATGCAACAGGTTTCCCTGGGAGTTGGAAGACAAACAGGTCACCTATTAATTTGCCATGTACTAGCAAACACCTGCTTCCCAGAGTCGTTCTTCCTTCATGAGAACGGATGAAGTGATGTGAGTGTGCCCAAGTCCCTTCACCATGTTCATTCTGCTCCTACACAGACATACAGAAGACCTTTTTATATAACTCCATTTTAATGGAAATGCTGTTTTTCTAAGATGAAAGTAGCTGCTCCAGCGATCTGAATGATGCTTATGTAACTTAAAACTGAGTTTGGGTGGATCTAATTCATTAACAGAAGGGGAAAGGGAGGAGAGCTCACGTATTTGCCTCCCATCATTATCAGAAGATCATTAAAAGTGATAGGATCTTTGAAGCAAATGTTTAGAGGGCCCTTCTTGGGTCCATCCCCAGCCCTCAAGCCAGGGTAGTGGAGCTGCAGCTGGAGGAGGAGGCAGGCAGACAGGATCTGGCACCTGCCATCCTCGACTCTGTAGTGCTGAGTGGGACACAGCACACCCCCACTTCCATTTCCTCATCCAGAACCTCTCAGGGTAGTTTCCAAGACCTTGCACATAGATTATCTGTGTGATTTTATTTCTCACTTCTTTGAGGTTGACATAGCAAATATTATGCCCATTTCATAGATGCCCGTTTTGTAGACAAGGAAGCAGGAAAGATTCATTGACTTATCTAAGCTTTCACTGGTCAAGAGGAGGCAGATTAGGGACAGAGCTCAACCATAAAGCACTTGCCTTACATGTGTGAGGCCCTGGGTTTAGTTCCCAGTAAAACACACACACACACACACACACACACACACTTGCACCAACATGAGGTAGGACTGGAATTTTTCTGGTTTGTTTTTTTTTTTTTTTTTGGCTTTTTCGGTGACACCCAGTGATGCTCAGGGGTTACTCCTGGCTCTGCACTCAGGAATTACTCCTGAGGGTTCTTGGGGAACCATATGGGATGCCAGGAATTGAACCCAGGTCAGCCGCATGCAAGGCAAACACTCTACCCGCTGTAATATCACTCCAGCCCCTACCTTTTCTGTTTTAAGAGTAAAACATAACGACTGAAGAGATAGCTCGTTGGGCTGAGCTGGTGCTCTTAGTGAGGAGACAGGGTTCCAGCCCAGCACTGCATGGTCCCCTAAAGGGGAGCTCAGATTGCCCTGTATATTCGAGGTTTCAGGTTCAATGTGCCACAAAGGAAAACAAAAAGAGACTAGAATTTACCCATAATTTCTTTCCTTCTTTTATAATGAATTGGGGACTCTGGAGCCACCCCCACAGGAGCTTGGCCTGCTTTGCAGATATGACAGTGCTGTGTTCTTGTCTGGGGAAGTAGTGCTGCTCTGACTAGAAGTGTGAGGGGCCATCAAGGGGCTACAGGGATACAACTCAGGGCCTCGGACATGCTAGACATCTGTTCTTCCACTCACACTCTTTAACCCCTGAATTTCTTTCTTTTCTTTTTGGTTTTTCGACCACATCCTGTGGTGCTCAGGGCTTATTCCAGGCTCTGTGCTCAGGTATCACTCCTGACAGGGCTTAGGGGACCTTCTAAGGTGCCATGAATCAAATCCTGATCAGTGCATGGCAGGTTCCATACCTGAAGTACTGTCTATTCAGCCTTCCCTCTCCCCTCCCCCCCTCCCCTCCTCTCCTCTCCCCTCCGCTCCCCTCCCCTTTCTTTTCTTGTGGTGGTGGTGGGGTGGTTCTGGGCTACATCTGGAGATTCTCAGAGGTTACTCCTGTCTCTGCACTCAGGAAGTACTCCTGGTGCTGCTCAAGGGACCATATGGGATGTCAGGGATCAAACCTGGGTGAGCCAGGTGCAAGGCAAACACTGTACAATCACTCCAGCCTCCTTCATCCCCTTTTCTTTTCTTTTCTGTTTTCCTTTTGTAATTTTTGCTTTTGGGCCATACCTGGCAGTGCTCAAGGCTTACTCCTGGCTCTGTGCTCAGGAATTACTCCTGGAAGCCTCAAAGACCATATGGGGTGCTGGGGATCAAACCCATATTGGCAGTGTGCAAGGCAAATGCCCTCCCCACTGCACTGTATTGCTCTGGTCCCATCTGGCCCTTTTATCTTTTTGGCTCCTGAGCAGTGCTCAGGAGGCTCAGGGGCCCATGATTGTCAGTTACCCAACTGGTGGTTAGTGTGAGGGCCTGAGGGGATGTGTTGCTCATGCTCTGTAGTGGTAGGGATTACCCAGGTCACCACAGCAGAACTCAGAGGCCACCAGGGTTGCACCTAGAAATTCTTAGGAAACCATGCGGTGTTGGGAATCAACCTGGATTGCCCACATGCAAGACATGTGCCTTAACCTCAATATTATCCCTGGTTCATTTCTCCCCCTTACAAATAGGACAGAGGAAAGACCAAAATCCAGTGATTATATTTCTTTCCTTTTAGGGAGACGGGGGCTTGGGGCACATCCAACAGTGCTCAGGGGTCACTCCTGGTGGTGCTCAGGAGTTATGGCCCTAGGGATCAAACTGGAGTCAGATACATGCAGGGCAAGCACTTTAACTTATGTGCTATCCCTCTAGTCTCATTACTATCTTTCTTGCTAACAATTAACATCACTACCTCTGGGAAGCTTTCCCAGATACTCATCCTCATCTCAAGGCCTTGTAATCGTCTAGGATCTGAGTATTTAACAGCATGTCTTCATTGCTAGCTTGCCCTTGGCTTCCCAACCAGATGATGGATTGAATGTAAGAGTTCCGCTATTCATTATTGGATCTCTTGTCATACCATCATGCCTAACACAGCAGGCACTATTTCCTGTCTCTGTGCCTTAACCAGTACTATTTTTGTTTGGGGGTTTAGTAGCCCATAGTAAGAAACACATTTTAGATGTGGTAGAGATAATACAGCAGTTAGGAAACTTTCTTTGTACGTGGTGGATCCAGGTTTGATCCCTGCACAATATTTGGAACCCTGAACACCACTAGGAGTGAGCCCTGCTGATTGTTCCCCTAGACCCCCAAATAAAAAGAAACACATTTTCTAATGTTGTGATTTTAAAAAAAGTTGTGATACTTTCAACTGATAAAAGCATCAGGAAACAATACTTATCCTTGATGTGTGCAGACTCTGTTTCTGTTGCATTTCTTATATTCCTTCTTTTTTTTTCAATGTCAGCCAAGACCCTCTAAATTGACTTCACAACCAAACATCAGGTTGGAAGGCTGCTTTCATTTCCTGTATGTTCCAGGCATCTTCCATGTTAAGGGCCCTTTAAGGCGGTCATTTTGCTCTGAGGTCATGTATATGAAAATAGACAGAAACCCTTCCAAGATTCTAAAATCAGAGGCACGAGGGTGCAAACAGAATGAATGCAGGGCAGAAGGATTAGGTAAGAAAAGATCCCAAGAAGCTTGTTGAAGACCTATGCGTCTTTAGAGACGACAAAAGGCCATGACAGCTTTATGAGAGTCTAAAAGTTCCCAAGAGGATTTCTGGGACTTTGATGCCATGAGCTTCTCGCTGCTCTTCCCCCAGGTTGCAGGTTTCTATCCCTAGAACACTGAGGTCATGATCGGCCTCTTCCCTACAAAGGAAGGCATGAGGGAGGTGGGCGCTGAGAGGACAATTGAAATTCAACCTAAAACAGTCTCCTAAATAACTTTCTGCCTCCAGGCCCTGGGCCACTTGCTGGCTCAGTGACAGTGATAATTATTTAGGTTCAAGGACAATAGCTGAATATCCACACCTCCAAGTCTTCCAGATAAAGCTCAAGAGTTCTTTCTGCTTCCCTTTGGATGATTAATGCAAGGTTAATGTGGAAATAGCAGGCCCCTCCTTTGGGCCCCCCAGTACCAAAACAGTGGCCTTGTAAGGGTGGGGC